AAGAAACACTTCCTTGGGGGGATCCAGGACAGGGGGAGGGGAGGGGTAGGTACCTCGAAAGGAGATCGCATGCTATTTACCTGCAAATCGTCTGCTCCCGAGGCTGCAAGCCCGAGGCTTGGTCCTGGCAGGAGTCTTTGATCTGGATGCATCCCATATTGGGATCCATGGCTCATAAGAGACAGGTCGTGGCGGCGGTAAGCATCTAAGCACCCCAGCTCTCTCCTCTGCTCGTCCAAGCAGGAGGACTTGAGTGCCCGCGCATTGTGCAGGTTGATAAAATCAGTGGGTTCTCCATGGTGGATCTGCTGGTAATATTGCTGGGAGTGGTGGAGAGAGTTCAACGAGTAAGCGTCGGGGTTGACTGCCGGGTGGCTGTGTTGGAACTCGTAGTGGAAGGACTGGTGGTGCAGTGGGGTGTACTGGTGGTTAGTGGAGAAGTACGGGGAGGCGAACTCGGTGCCCGTGGTAGAGTAAGTGAGAGGAGATGAGGAGGAATAGGCGACGGTCGAGTTGGCCACAGACTCCAGGCATCCAAGCTGCATCAAACGGTAACTGTTTGATCCGTCATGACGTATCTGAAAGGAAGAAGTGAAAAGAAGACCCCAAAACTGGAGGTTTGTCATTGAAAACCCCGGGTACGGTTCTTCCAAGCACGCTGTCCTGCATAGCTTCTCCCCCTGCAGAAGCGTCTAAGCCTGCAAGCGGCAACCCCAGCAACAAAAGATCCTTTCCTACCTTGGGCTGGTGCCATAAAGGTTTGTTCAAAAAATCATAAACAGCCCAGCCTGCCCTTAATACTGTCAAGTGAAAGGAATCCACGCACTGAAATAAAAACTATCTATCTATCTATCTATCTATCTATCTATCTATCTATCTATCCATCTATTCATTCATCTATCTATCCATCTATCCATCCACCTCCTGATCACAGCTGTAATATCTGGGGCTGACACAAAAAAAAAAGTCATCAAACAGAGGAAACTACCGAGAATACACACAAGTCCCGTCCCTATGTTACAGCGTTACACATTGAGAAAGCTTTGCCGCCTGCTTGCCTTCCTTTCTTCCTTCCTTCCTTCCTTCCCTTCTTTTTTTTTTTTTTTTTGAACCCCTATTTTTCTTTCTTTTTAAAATAACGAATCAGATCCAAAATTCCCCCCCTCTTTTCCCTGCGTTTCGAAAGAAAGGGGAGTCCTGCTTTTTTAGCGAGAACTCCCCATTCCTGGCGAGCTGGTGGTGATTTCTCTCCACTTCATTATATTATTAGGGGTATTATTCTGATTTTCGTTCTGGCAACGGTTTTAACGTGGTAATGAGTTGCCCTTGCTGGCGACAGATGTCATAACGAATTTTCTCTCTATACTTCTTTAAGTTATCTCTGAAGCCGGATTATAATTAAACGTAACGGTCCAATATGGATTTTAAAAAAATGGAAACTCTGGAAAAAAATACCCCCTCCAAATTAAAAAAAAAAAAAAAAAAAAAAGGAAAAAAATTGAAAAATCCAAAGTTCATGTATTTCCCCAATTTTTTTTAGAAAAAATCTCTACAGACAGAGAGAATTTGCAATGTATCTGCATAGATCAGATCTCTCGCTTTTCCATGCACCTCCTTAAAAACCTGTAGGAACAAAATTTTCCCTCTGCACAAAAGCTGCTCCCTGGATCAGATTTTGTACTTGCTGGGTATTTCTTTGGCTGATGTCGTAGGTCCCTTGGTAATATAGAAGTTTTGAAAATTAAGCATCAGCACTGAGAACTGGGAGGACAATAGATAGAGGAGCTTCATCCCAGGAGACAAGGAATAAATATTGTATCTTCGCCTAATAAGGAACTGTAGGTTCTTTCAACATTTTTATACAATTTTTCCTCCACTCTTTAGAATGCTTTTTCTTACCCAGGCTAATATGGGAACTAATCTGATCGAAGGGGGTATTTTGTGTACATTTTATTGGGAAGACATAAAGCTAATATATACAAATATATATTATTAAACCATCCTTTTCAATAGGTAAGTGCTCCTTCCTGTTGATTATATGCTTCTAAATACTGACCAAAATCTAAGATTGCACATTTGTATGTGTGTCTGTTTAAGTGTATTTTTTTTCCTAAATGAAAACTATGTGGTTTGTTTTGGTTGGGGTTTGTATTTTCTTTTTTTTTACCCTTTCATTTACATCGAATTTAAGTCCACCCCACACTCCAACCTGCTTTTAAAGCTGCCTAATATGTTATCTTACAGGCTTCTTTAAATAGCATTTTCAAACATAAAACTAGGGTGAGACCACAAAGTATCACTGCAGTGACATATGATATTATGGAATTATACATAAAATACATATAGATCTACGGAATTACATCTGTAACAGGCGAAAGAAAAATAGGGAAGGGGACGTAAGAGCTAAAGACCACTGATAGCTCGTTCGACATTTCCAAGTGCCGATATATTTTGGAGATGGGAACGCACGGAGGCTGCGTAGCCCTGGGTGGCAAAGCTGAAGGGGTACGTGATTTATTTATTTAGTGACACCGGTCCGAGGAGCTGCCACTCGGGGAATGAGTCCTGTCTGCCTGCTCGGCGCCCCCCCTGTTCCTGTGCCCCCAGGTAGCGGCTCCCCAGCCCCGCAGTGACTGCGGGCTCCGCCCGGGGAGCGCCCGGGGGGGCCGCCCGCTGCCGGGCGAGCTCGGGGTGGCGGGGGGGGACTCACACACCCACCGCGAAGATGCCAGCCCAAATGGCATTTCCCGACGGGGAGGCTCTGCTGATGGCTAGCTTCCACCCGAGATAAGCCTGGAGATAGGAGAGGGTGTAACTTGCTTTTAATTGCCATTTAATTTGGGTCGCGTTTAAGCGTTTAAGCTGCGAAGGTGTCTTAATAATAAGCCGGAGGCAAAGAGGCATGTGGCTCCCTGCCTTGCTCTTTCCTCTTTATTTATTTATTTTTTTTTTTTTTTAAAGGTCCAGGTTTTGGGAGGGTTTATTGGTATCTGTTCATGCAGGCTAACAGGAGCTGTCACTCAGCCCTCTTTTCTTCCTACAAATGGACAAAGGCACACGACTGGAATGGAAATGCATTGTCTGAGATGGGAAAGTGCGGGTATCCCGGTGGGCGGGGGGGGCAGCGGGAACACATCACACCTCTCCAGAGCGCTGCTGGGGAGCGGGGCTCCACCCGAGCCCCCCGCCCCGCCCGGCCTAGCGGGGAAGGAAGGAAGGAAGGAAGGAAGGAAGGAAGGAAGGAATTGTTTTTTTCTTCTCATTTGGATTTCCTACAGTTCTAATACTGCTAATGGAACACAAATATTTCTCCCCAATATATTATTGAAAAAAAAAATCTAGAATTTTCTCCAAGTTCAGATTTTGTTTGATCTTCTCAAGATTTTGATACTTGAGAGAATTGAAAAATGCCACAGGATGAAACCCACCCTAATGATGCGAACAAACTTTGCCCTTTCCAACACCTCTTTGGAGTGTGGAGAGCGCAGTGGATTCAGCCACATCAGCCTTGAAGGGGGAGGCTTAGACCTGACAAAAAAAGTTAACACACTTTGAGCATACCTTCCAAAAGGAGGGAGAGGCAGGAGAGACATTCCTTCCCTTCGAGAAGTCAGACAAGCACCCTCCCAAACATTCATGGCAGAGCACTCCGCATCTCTGTTGACTTTGGCTATTTGCGCTGTGCCACTTCAGTCCCATCTCTGTGGTTTGGTTTTGTTTTGAGAAGGGATGAGGAAAGGTTTTCCTCGAGGTGGCCGAGCAAGCCCGGCTCAGGGCATGAACGGGGCACAGACGGCGAGGGGACAGGACCAGGGCGAGCGAGGCAGCGGCAGCGCGGAGCGCACCGTGACCCAGGCGCTGCAGGGCGGCCGCGCTCCCCCGCGAATCACCCCGCAAGACACTTGCTCCTTTACGCACTCATTCATCTTATTTCCAGGAAACCACGGGTGTGAGAGAGGGATGTGGGGACACATTCCCTCCTGTTCTGCGCCGTGGGTGCGGCGGTGCGGGGATCGCCCCGCTCCGAGCGCCGCGGGGAGGACGCGCCCGGCGCAAGGGCCGGCGCCTTCCCAGCTCGCTGCCCGAGCTGCCAGGAGATCACCCCGCTGAAGGAGATCAGTTTTGCCAGAGATCTTCCCCCGTCCCGACCCCTTCCCCCTCCATCCTCCCTTCCCACGCACACGCAGCCCAGACGAGCCCACCGCCTCGCTCCCAGCCAGCGCGGAGCCCAACTTCGTTTCAAACAACAACAAAGCCACCAAAATGGTTTTGTTTGGAGGAAAGTTTATAAGAAACCCGGCTTGCCAGATGCACGTTACTGGTCAGTTCCATCTGTTAGCTTCGTTTACAGACCCTAGAAAAAAAATCATATAGACCGTTTGCGCTTTTAACTCCCCCCAATCCAATTAATAACGCGAGTCAAACTGCAAAGCACTTATTAATTGCTCCCAAAGAAAAATCTTTCAGGAAAGTTAATTGGGAGCTTTCTGGTTTTCCAACCAGCGCTATGAACAGACCAGACAGACTTTGCCTTGAGTTTCATTGTGGCTGAGCACATTGTTTATCCCCTGCCTAAAGTTTACTTCTGCTTCTGAGCTACAGATATATATATATATATATATATATATATATATTTTTTTT